AAGATTTTGGCTTATCTCTACCAAAAGATCAACAATGTTTACTTAATCCAAATCAGAAATATGTTTTTTAAAACAGATATCATATAATAAAGGGCTTTTGTTTTAATAAACAATTGAGTAATACACAGATAAGTAAATAGATGATGACATAAATATAATTAAAAGAGTATATACAATAAAATTTTAAACAAAGTTGACATTAGATAGTTGGTTTCTTATAGAAATACTAGGTTTTTTTTTATTTTTACCTTTTATATAAAATACACAATAGAATTAAAATAGAAACTTCTTCTAATTAATAGTATTTTATAATTTTTATGCATAATACTATATATATTTACTATCTAGTTTATGTTTTAGCTTTGTTAAAATACCTGTTTTGTTTTTTTTATCTTTGTTATTTTGTTTATTTTTTTTTTTATTTTTTTCTTCTGTTTTGTTTTTTTTTACTTTGGTTTGTTATTTAGATATTGTTAGATCTACTTTTTTTTTTCTTTTGTCTCTTTTATAGAATGTTCTGCTATAATAGTTTGATTGAATATAGATATAGCATCATATTTGGTAACTTAGATTGAAGAAATCTAAAGTTGGTTTTTAACAGAGCTAACAAGATCTCTAACTTATATATAAGTTGGTATAACAAGTCACATCTAGACACATATATTGCAGCCAAGTGATAGTAAATACTCACAATTCGGAACTCTTCTTTGTTTTGGCTTGTAATATTTTATTACTATTAAAATAATAACTCGAGAACTAAGCTTTGGCAAGACTGTTAAAGAATTAAAAAAAAAAAAAAAAAAAAAAAAAAAAAAAAATTTAAAAAATTTTAGAATTATTTATTTGTAGCCATGGCTACATGTAGCCGTATTCAATAATTCTGCAATAACTCAAAATTTTACTAGAATAATCTCTGTCATGTAACTAAATAAAAATACCTCTCTTGCAATTTTACCTTATTTTAACTTTAAACTTTAACTTTAACTTAACTTTAACTTTAGTTCTAACTCTAACCATAATGTTAATATAGCTGCAAAATTTTCTATAAAAAACTATTTTAATAGTATGGTTACATATAGTCTATGGTTACAAATAAATTAATTCAAAAATTTTTATTAATAAATTATTTTATTTTTAACTATTTTTAACCAGAGGTGATATAACCACATCTAGTAAAATTTAGAGTTAGAGTGCAGTTTTAGAAATTTTTTTTTTTTTTATATAATATAATATATATTAAATATAAGGTTTTAATTTTAGTTCTTACAAAGTTTTTAGAGGTTCTGGATATTTTTACTTAGAATATCTAATCTAGTTTACTTAGTATGTTTTTAAGATATAGTACTCCTAGTAACGTAACCAGGGGCAGATTAGCAATAGTCAATTATTTTTATATAAAAGTTTATTTATATTAACTTATTTTGATTTTAAATAAATATTTTATAAAATTTTTATTATATATATATATAATACTATTATTATATACTATTTTCTTTAAATTTTTAAAGTAATATCCAATAAATAAATATATATATTATTTTTTAGACTTGTTACAACCTTTTCAACTAATATATTTAAAAATAATTTTAAAAGAAAACAAAAAATAAATACTAATTTTAATATTTTAATTATTTAGAAAAAAATTTTTTTAAAAAAAGCTAAACAACTTCTACTTTGTAATGTTAAATATAGAGAAAAAATTTTTTTTTTAAAAAAAGATATATATTAATAAAATTAAATAATTGTATTGTAAAAATATTTATTAATAGTAATAGATAGTGCTTAGCACAATTAAACAAAAATTTGACAGTCAAATACTTGTTAATATTTGTGATTAAGTTGGACATCAAATGATTCAATAGTATATATTTAGCTTTGGTTAATCTGCAATCATGTGATATCCGATTTAAGCATAAGTATTAACAATATTTGACTATCGAATTTTTGTTTAATTGTGCCGAGCACTAGTAATAGAAATTTTTGGAAATTTATAATAGATCAATTTGGATTAATATATTATATAACTATTAGTATATTTAAAGTTAGTTTTTAAAGGTATAAAGCATTTTTACTTAGAATATCTTGCGTTAATTAATTAAATAGTTTTTAAGATAATATATATATATATATAAAATACTATAGATACATTTTAGTAAAAGTCAAAAATTTTTTATAAAAAATATAGTAAATTGATTTTTTTTTATTTTAATTAATTTTCAAAAAATTAAATTAATAAAATCTAATTTTTATAAAATTACAAAATCAAAATTTTTTTTTATTGTCTTTTTTTACTATATAGATTCATATATATATAGATAAGTCAATAGAAATCGAGCAAATTTTTTATAATAAATTTTTTTTATAACTTTAAACAAGAATAACTTAACAAAAACTTGACTATAATTAATAAAAATTTTTTAAAATAATTTTTACAACCGTTTAGAAAAAATTTTTATTAAATTTGATCAAGTTTTTGTTAAGTTATTTTTGTTTAAAATTTTAATAAAATTTTAAAAAAAACTTATTAAAAAATATTTGCTTGGTTTTTATTAACTCAACCCATATATATGCATAATATATTATACGTATTAAATTTTAAATATAATAGTAAAATTTTTAAATAAAATTTTAACTATATACGTTATATAATTACAAGTAAAATATACAGTACAGCGAGTTGTAACAAATAATATTTTCAAGCTTCTACTAAAAAAATATATTTCACCTTTAACATTAAAAAAATAAAAATAAAAAAATATATTTACAAGTAAAAAAAAATAATAATTTTTTTTTACTCTTTTGTTATTTAAATATTAAAACTTTTTAAGATCAAAGTATTAATTTTTAAATTATAAAAAAATAATATTTAAAATTAGCAAAAATAACCTTTTTTTAAATACAGTATATACTTCCCAAATTTATAATTAGCACTAGTATCGTTAGTGTAAATTTTAATGCGTATAGATTTTTTTTATATAGTATTTAAAAGCTCTAAAAAAAACAATGTTTAAAATAAATATTCTATAAAATAGTTTCTTTATAATAATTATTTCATAAACAAAAAGATAAAACGGTTTTAAATAATTATGTAAAAGGATTTCAAAACAAATGAAAAATAAATATGTATATATGTATAACAAATATTTTTTTTCTTTAATGTAAACTTATAATTTTTTATAAAAAAAATTAACTGCTTAAATGTTTAGTATATTGAGCAAAGATACGTAATTTGTAAATGTTATCTGTTATCTCCACGTTGCACATCAAAAAAAATCGATATTCAACGAGATCTCTACACTGGTCAATAAAATCTCTCAGTTCACATGAGTGTCATTGGTTGATAAAAGTTTAAGTTCTTCTAATTTAAGAACACAGATATTACAAGTCAAAATCTAGATAAATTTTAAAAGTTTTTTTTTTTTTAAGGAGTGTTCATATATTTAGATAAATTAAACACTAGCCATTCTCAGCATGACGGAAACTTCCGACATTAAGATTAATTAAAGCCAATGATTATCGTTGATATGGGGATAATTCGATATCGTATCAGATAGTGGTTATAAAGCGAAGAAGCTCGACTGAAATTTCATGGAACTCATCTTGTTAAATTTTAAGTCAGGACCGGGTAACGAGCAGGTATTGATTAGTGAACACGCCAGCCACCGTTTCTTCACAAATCAAATTCAAAATAGAGCAATGCAAAAAAACGTAATAAACTTCAACGTTATTTAAAATTACACAAATCAAAAACCATATTCTAGTGCCCTTCTGTCTAAAGGAATAACGTAAATCATAATGCGTAACAATTAAGATGAATTTATGTTTAGATCGTCAAATTATTGCATATGAATTCGCCATACGAATATATGATTGACCTTCTCTCTTGAAGTACTAACCTCAAAAGGAAGTTCGATAATTATTGTTTTTTTTTCTTTCTTTTTTTTGATTCCCATAGCTTGACAAATGCGACGAGTTAACTGCAATCGAAGATTTTTAATACACGGAAACTTGGAAACTCGACACTTTGTAACAGTCACAACATCAACGACAAAAATCACATGGAATATTTGGACAGTTTCTATATTGTAATATAAATGCTATTGTAAAATACATTGGCATTCACCATATTTACAAACAATAAAGTAAAGTGGATATTAGCATATATACAACGCAAACTAAAAACGATGAGAAAAAAGTTGAACACATGGTGGATTTGTTTACCTCCCATGCTTTTTTTTTTTACTTGACCCCCTTTCTTCTTAAAAAATTTGAGACAGGTCTTGTGTATGTTTATACATATAATTGTACAAAACCGTTTTATTATTTATCAATTTATATAAAAAAAATTTTTTTTGTATAAAAAAATTTTTTTTGTATAAATGTTCATTATAATAGATTTATATTTATTATAATAGATTTAGGGTCCTCTATTCATTAAACTATTGTACGTATCATGAATTTAAACATGTTGATTGAATAGTAAAGATTGCTATACGTCTTATATATGTCTGCATGAGGATCGCCCTTCGGGTAATTTGTTACACCCCAGATGTTGATTGTTGAAAAAAAAAAAAATCTAAAAATCAGATAAATTGGCATCGTTTATCACTTACTTCTCCTTCCTTTCCACTTTTCTTTTCTGGCAAGAAAGAACGATCAAAAACCCTTTTACTTCAGAAAACATTCCAAATTTGATCATCTACTTAATCCTGTGAATAATAAAAATAATATTCAATATACAATATTATATATATATATTTTTATATTTTATTATATTCTACTACTATTACTAGTATTCTACTTATAGAATAGATTTCACTATTCTATTTAATTTGTCCGTTACAATTTTCCCATTATCATTTTTTTTTTTCTTTTTTCTTTTTTTTTTTTCCTTAATTATAATCAAGTAAAAAAAAAAAAAAAAGACTATAATTTCTAATAAAATACCCCTCGTTGCAGTACAAAAAAATCTTTGCTTTCACGCCAAGTATCTCGAGAACATGCAATTTACCTCAGGTTTCGTCTTCCCTGAAGCAGTCTCTCAAACCCCCGTGGCTCTAAACCCAGGTAAAATATTATTTTATTTATTTATCTTTCGGAAAACGAAACGCGTTCGACTATACGTTAGTATGGTTTACGCGGTTGATATTTATAATAACTAAAGAAAAAGAAATTTCGAATAATAAAAAGCGTGTCAAAATGAATTTTATTAAGTTTACTCGCGTATTTTTAGTTCAAATAATTAATAAAGTCTAATTTATTTTCTTTTTCCACTTGGACATTCGTTTTCTCAGACTTTACATTTACATGTTCACCAGGAGGTGCACCTTTAAATAGTTTATCGCCCCTTCCTTTAGGAATGCCACCTAGTGTCCCTCTAAATATGTTTTCTCTTGATAACACGCAAGCAACGCAAGCAACACAAGTTTCTCAATTACTTTCACCTGCACCTTCGTCACCACTTTCTATACTTGAATATCGCGACTCTCCTACAGCCGATGAATTGGACATTCCTGAATTTTTCCAATATAGCAAAGAAAAATATGAAAGTCAAAAGATGGGATGTGGTCGACGGAGGAAATCATCACGTGATGAACATTTCGATAATTCCTCTTTAGATGGAGATGATATTGATGATACAAGCAGGTATTTATAATGCACGAGAACAAAATATATATATTTGATCGAAAACATCTTAATTAGATTCTATTATTGGTTAAAGCACAATGTCACATGCTGAGTTTAGGCGTCAAATACACATTCAATCAGAGCAAAAACGACGTGCAGAAATCAAAGATGGTTTTGAGGAACTCCGTAGGCAACTTCCGACCACTTATACAGGTCGCAAGATGAGTAAAGCTGTCTTGTTACAGAAAGGTGAACACAATTACTATATTTATGTTTCTGGTGCTACCTAACAATAATGCATGTAATTCACAATATTTTTTAACACAATAATTGTTTATTTTTATGTAAAGCTGTTTCACATCTAAAGAATCAGTCAAGGAAGGAGTCTTTCCTCCTCGATGAAATCAATCGCCTGAGTCAAACTTGTATCTATTTGAATGCAGAATTGGAAAAGGAGAAAAGGTAAGATATGATTTTGTTTTACATTTTACTGCTTTCATATTATTCTAGAGTACTTTATTAATATATAATATGCATATCTTAACTATTTAATTTCCAAAAGAATGAGCGCGCTTTATAGACAAAAGCAGACTCTTGATAAAATATATGCGATTGGATTATGAACAATTACAAGGACATTTTATTATTTTTCAGAACTAGCCATCCCTCTTTGTTCTCGTTTACTTTTCTTTTTTATCCAGCTTAACCAACCGAAGAATAAAGCTTATCGTTAATTTATCAATATTCTTTCTTTTTTTTTTTTTACACGTTCTTAGAATCAAATTTTTTTTATGTGTCAGGAGCATTTTTCGCAACTTTACATAATTGTATATTTCGTTCATTCCTACGACTATTTTGCTAAGAAATGGTTATTACGCCAGCATTCATATATACATCTTTTTTTCATCTGCAACGCAAGCTTTAGAAATGTCTTTTTTTTTTTTTTTTTATATATATATACATGGGTATATATATAAATCAGTTCCTTTTTTTTTTTATATATATTTTCACGTTCTTTTGTTGGTGTTTTTCTTTGTTTCTTTGAATGACCTCTAAATTCGCAGTATTTTCTGTTAGCTGTTTTCTGTTAGCTGTTCTTTCTTTTTAGTCTCACTTGGAATTTCTTTTGGATGTTTATTTTTTTTTTTGTGTGGTGTCACTGGGCTGGCGGAAAAAGCTGGACAATTCGAAAAAAAAAATAAAATAAAAAAAAAAAAGGAAAATGATTTTTTTCAAGGGTATTGCATGTGTCAAAATAGAATAGCAATATTTTTATTTTTTTAATATTTTTTTAATTTATGATTAATTCCTGGTCTCTTCATAAATTTATTATATCAATTATGAAATCGCTTCTCAATTAAAATAATTAAAATAATTAAAATAATTAAAAATAATTAAAATAATTAAAATAATTAAAAAATAATTTAAATAATTAAAAAATAATTTAAATAATTAAAATAACTAAATTATTATAATAATTTATCGTTAAATTAAAATAAAATGAATTATATCATCTTTATTTAGACAAGCAGTTTTAGAAAACGCGTAATTTTGACTGTCCCTTGCATTGTCCGTCCCATCCTGGGATGTCCCATCAATGTTCCAACTTTTAACTTATTAAGTCATTATTTAAATAGCAACATATGTAAAATTAAAATTTTAAACATGTTTATTTTAAAATCAATTTTGTTTCAATTCGTCACAGCTGCGGCATCTACGCGTGTTTTACTAATACAATTAATCCGCGGGCGCATTAATGGTTAATTTGTCAGTTCTATTTTTACTTAGTCTCGTGACATTAATTACAAATAATGAATAATGAAGATTTATTTACATTAAACATAATTATTATCAATTACCAGAGGTTCCTTAATTTACAGTTAAAATAATTACTGCTGAATTTTGATAAATAGTAAATGCGTTGATATGTTATAATTTATGCTATAATTTATGCTATAATTTATTAAATAATTAATTATTTATAATATATAAGCAAAAGTTGCGTGATTTTCAAGCCAGTCAATGTATTACTATTATTACTGTTAAACAACCATGTGCATGTCTTACATGAGATTGGAAATAGAATTAAATCCGACTTAAACTGTGAGATGCAACGCATAAACTCTAATTGTAAGGAAATATGTATATATATATTGTAATTCTAACTATCTCAAGTTGTAACGATACACTACTTTTTTTTTTTTTTTTAAATCAAATTGAGTTGATATGCATACAATATCTGATATTTTGTCTTGTTAATTAAGTATAATGGTGAATGAATGCGCCTTTTATGAAGCTTGATGGTCATGTGACACGGCTAATATTTTGTAGTACACGGCAATTTTTTTGAAATCGCGTATGTATTTTCTTTAAATTTGCATTTCTACTAACCTAAAAAGAGAAAAGATATAGAATTATGTACCCACTGCGACAGACTATTAAAAAAAATTAAATCTGAAAAAAGAACTTAATTTAAGATGTACGATAAATAAGACCATATCCAGGTTACCCTGTGACGCGTATATAAAATAAAAAATACTGATTTTGTTCGATTATTATAATATACGAATTAAGATTTTGTGCGGTAACACTACTATGAAATTTGGTCGAAAGTACAAAAATATCGTTGTTAATTTTGCATACATTCTTTTTAAAGAACTTGATAAATATTGTGAAATCAGAAAGATATCAGAAAGATCAGTAAGATCAGTAAGATCAGTAATATATATATATATATTCAAAGATTTAAGTTATTTGGTTTGTTTTTTTTTAATTTTTTTTTTTTTTTGAGCAGATTATGCGATAATAAATTTTTAGAATTAAGAATCAATCTCAAAGAATATTCCCATGTAATTTCAGGAGAAACTTTGTGATTGGTAAATAGAGAATCCAAATTGTATGAAAAGAAGGATTAAGTTAAGGTTCCTGCTTGAAGTATGACCCCTTAATATATTTTATGATGAATATTTATCATTTTGAGATTTCGTGTACAAAAATAGTCGTTTCGATCGACTTTCGAGCAATATATCTAAAACATTTCACGAAAAAGAGAAAAAAGAAA